ATGAACATCTCACTACTATGAATAATTGTTATTCGTGATGGACACATGGATACTTTAGAGAGTATTGGTATACCCTACCGATAAACCATTTGTTTATGTGTCTATGGGATTATCGGTGTGTAGAATGGTGTAATAGTCCTTTGACTTGAGGTCAATACGCAATTCATGTATAGAGTGATTTACTTAGACCTAGTCCAACGCTTACGCCCTTATGGGTAGGGGTGGGCACGGTTCGGTTAACCGAATTTTTTGAGGTATTTGCTAACCGAACCGAACCGAGCAAATATTCGAACTCGCTAACCGAAACCGAACCGAAAATCTCGGTTAACCGAATTTTCGGTTAACCCAAAAAAATCCTACTATTCGCGAATTAACCGAACCGAACCGAACCGAGCGAACCTAACACAAATCTGCTTGTTCGCAAATAATAAACCGAACCGAACCGAACCGAACCGAAAACATTAATATAAATATAATATATAATATATAATATATTTTAATGAAATATATATTTTATAATATATAATATATAATATAATATATATTTTAATAAAATATACATTTTATAATATATAATATATAATATAATATATATTTTATAAATTTTAATATAATATACGGTTCGGTTCGGTTAACCGGGGCAAAAAAATCTTAAAAACCGTAACCGAACCGAACCGAGCAAATACTTCATTTGAGGTATTTGTAACCGAACCGAGTCCCCCGGTTAACCGAAAATTCGGTTCGATTTCGATTCGGATCTACGATTCAGCGGTTCGGTTCGAATTTTTTGCCCAGCCCTACTTATGGGTAGACATGGGCTTGTGTTGGGTAGATCATGATATACATGGAATTGGTAGTTGAGCCAAGATGGAATTCATTCCTCGAATATAGTTTCGAGAGAATACTCGTTTTCTCTATACTGGGTTGATAAAGTCACTGGCCAATGCATATGATTATATTTGAATGGTGTTCAAATGTAATTGATAAAATCAACTAGTAAGATGAGATAAAATGATTAAGCTGTTTGGATAGACACACATTCAAGTCCTAAGCTTAATCGAGTGGGTCGTGAATGAAGGGGTCGTATCACTATTGAATTCTACACTAAAGGTTTGTTTGCTTTGTCTATGTAAACGTACTTCATATTTTGAGTTCGTCCTTCGACGCAGTCTAGGAGTTTCGTAAGGATCATAAATTAGATTTATGTCAATATATGAAGGCCTATAGGGTCACACAATATGCAATCTATTTTCCGGCTAAGAGTGAATCGAGAGTGTTAAATATTCAATTAGATTGGAATATTTAATTTTAGTAATGAGATTATTTTCTATTAGATAGAAAATATATAATTAAGTTTAATTGGACTTAGACTTAATTAAAATCATTAATTGGATTGAGTTCAATTACCTATTGGACAATAGGTTATTCTAAAGCCCATATAATTAGGTTTAGCCTAATTATAAATATGTGGTTATCTCTTTATCAGTTGTAGGGATCAGATAATTGAGATAAATAGGTGGTTATCTCTTTATCAGTTGTAGGGATCAGATAATTGAGATACGCCGTAAAAACAAACTCTATCTCTTTGGCTTTCTGACTGACTCTCTCTTTGGCTTTCTGACTGAGGATTCCTAGCGTCTTCACCAGAAAAGATTCATTGCGTTGGATCGTGCACGGGGATCTGGATTGCGTGGATACCATAGCTGAAAATAAAGCTTAAACTGTAAGTTCTCGCGATCTAGGATCAAAATCGAATAGCTATAACCGGATCTTCTTGTTGGTAAGAAATTTTTTAAAAATTCCGCTGCGTGTGCGATTGATTCGTACGACAAAAATCCAACAGTTTAGACAAGTAAACGAATCAAAATTAAATTTTTGCCTATAATATTTTACGGCCAATTTCGTTGTTATGGCATTTTGGAGAAGCTATATATATTTTTTAAGAGAAATCTATAGTAACATCAACAATAAAATTAATGAAATTACGAGAGAAAGCGTGAATATGGTACTTTACAGAAAGTATTCCCTAAATCAATGCTCTCTTGGTTTAAAGAACAAGAATTGAATAAGCCGTGGATGATGAAACATAGGTCCTAATTGCTCTTTTGGTTTATAGAACAAGAATTGAATAAACCGTGGATGATGAAATATAAGTCCTAATTAAAAGATTGAAAAGTGTAACAAGTTCAATAATATCTAGAGTATTTAAGCATTGTTTTTTAACTATAAGTATAGTAATAGAATAAAACTGCTCAGAAAAACAACTAGACTTGATAAGACTTGTTGAAACTCGAAAAAAAAAATTTTATATAATTTTTTATAGTTTGGCTCGTTAAAACTCGAGATCGACTCATTAATGCTCAAGCTCGAAACCTTAATAAGCCGAGCTCGAGCTCGATTTCAAGCTCGTATACTTAACGAGCCGAGGGCTCGAGCTCGAGCTTGAGCACTCTAAGCTCGAGCTCTTAAACCAGGGGCAAAACGATTGCGGTCTATACAAGTGAAGTGCACCATAAGAGGGTTAGCCCAAATGAAGCCCAAGTGAAGTTCCATTCCAAAACTAAATGGTGATGAGAGGAGTAGCCCACTAAACTTATAAACTAGATTCGTTTACCCTATCAAATCAATGTGGGACAACTCACAAATGATATATTCCCAACACGAGCTCGACTCGACTCGTTTACACCTCTAAATCCACTCATTTTATTATTGAATCAGGTGTGATCCCATATAGTATTAGATTTTGCATCACAAGAACGGCATTTTTTTTAAATCCACAGTTCTACTTCATCTCCCGTTACCCGTATGCACAAACAAAGCTGTGACGAATACAGCCAAGAAATACAACACAAGCTGTCCTCCAGATAAAACAAGGAAAATTGAAAAGGTACTACTCTTTTTCCTATTTTCTTTGTTAATTCCTTTTTCCCCTTTTTAGCTCGGAAAATTGGGTTTTTGTGTTGCCCAACTTTTGGCTTGTAATTGGCTTTTCTTTCTTAACCTTCGTTTGCTGTTCGTGTGAGGGATTGAGCAAAAAATCTTCTCAAAATGGGTTTGTGAAGTTGTGCTCTCCTTTTTTCTTTATTTTTTTCTTTTTAATCTGCTCTGTTATGTGTTGATTTTGCACCTATTTTTGCTACTGTTCTTGGCTGTATGCTGTAGCTGGGATATGCAGTTTATAGTTCAAAGATCCATTTTTTTTTCGTGGGTTTTGGTCAGATATTATTCTCCTTATTAGATTCTTGTAGGATGATATAGTTTCTTGCTTGCTATTTCCCAAAGATTCGATCTTTCAGTGCCCAGTGTATCTATATCTTGGACAAACCAAGATTTCCCTTGAAATTTATGAATCTTTGAAGACCTAAATGTTTCTCCCCTGTTCTTGAAAGGCCCTCTTCTTGTTTTGTATGTTAGGGCAAGTTTTGTGATTCGCATCGTCATTCATCGGATGTATCTTCAGCTGGGATCTTATGTAGTACATGGATAAGAAATACTAATCATGGATGAAGATGATTCTTTCACTCTTAACCCCATGCCCCGAACCCCACAGACCGATTTCAATCTCACCGATGAACTCTTGTACAATGGATTTTGGTTAGAAGCTACTGATGGATATGACTTTTGTCCAAATATAGACGGTGATTTCACAAATCCGCAACAAGAGAGCTTCGGCTTCCCAAAACTTACGGTAAAATCGAATTTTTCTACCGAGGCTACTCTTAATAATGTAGAAATGGATGAGTTTTTTCCACCTCAATCTCAAGACTATGAAGATGCCATTGCCACCCCATTAGTCTCTTCAACTCAATCTACAAAGTTATGGTTTGGGCCAAACAAGAACTCAATTGGCCCTTTACCCGTGAAGAAGAGATTAATGCACGCTATGGATTGCCTCAAAGAGTCCATAATCGATAAGGATATCCTAGTCCAGATATGGATTCCCGTGAAGAGAGGAGGGCGGCAAGTGCTCACGACTAACGACCAGCCGTTCTCACTAAATCCACACTGCAAAAACCTCGCAGTCTATCGAAATGTGTCTGAAAGTTATCACTTTTCGGCTGATGCGAGTGCTAAGGAGTTTTTCGGGCTGCCAGGTCGTGTTTTCTTGAACAGGTTTCCCGATTGGACTCCGGATGTTCGATTTTTCAAACGGGAGGAGTATCCGCGTGTCAACCATGCACAGGAGCATGATGTTAGGGGATCGATTGCCCTCCCGGTTTTCGAGCAAGGCAGTGGCGTTTGCTTGGGGGTCGTTGAGATTGTGACGACCAGTCAAAAAGTCAATTTTAGCCCTGAGCTTGAGAATGTCTGCAAAGCTCTAGAGGTATTGAAAAGCTTGTAATGATGTGAATTTACTGTAAGGTTCTTTTTTACTTTCTCGATTATCTTTCTTCTGTAAATATTATCATTTGGAGCTTATTCTAGTGATGGCAGAAGTTTAATTTTTTATGATGCTATTTCTAAGTCTATATCGTCATATGCTTATATTGATTATCTTCGGAGAAATTTCATACATAAACTCTGAACATGATTGTTCTCTCGCAGGCTGTTAACTTGAAAAGTTGTGAAATTTCGATTCCTTCCAATGTAAAGGTAATCAATAAAATAAAATCCTCTTCAGTGAACACTACTTTGGTAATGAAACTCATTTTTAATACATAATTTGATCCATCTATACCAGGATCCAAACGAACCGTACCAAGATTCTTTGCGCGAGATACAAAATGTCTTAAAATATATTTGTGACACGCATAAACTGCCTTTGGCCCAGACATGGGTGCCATGCTCGCAGCAGCACGAAGGAATCTGCCGAAAATCGAACGAGACTTCAGCGTGTTGCATATCAACAATCGACTCAGCTTGCTATATTGCCGATGAAAATGTTATGGGCTTTCACGAGGCGTGCTCCGGTTACCACTTGCTCAAGGGCGAGGGTATTGTTGGAAAAGCTTTTGCGTCTAATCGGATGTTTTTTGCCGAGGATATAAGGACCTATAGCAAAACTGAATATCCACTGGCACACCACGCGAGGATTTTTAACTTATGCGCTTCTGGGGCAATACGCTTGAGGAGCACAATAAACAATGAAAGAATATGTGATTTTGTTTTGGAGTTCTTTCTGCAGCAGCTAAATCAAGAAAATGTGGATGGCCCAAAAGTGATGCTCGACTCGTTTTCTAGTGTCGTACAAGAGAAGTGCCGGAGATTGCGAGTAATTACTGATGAGGAGTTGGCTCGAGAAAGTTTATTTGGTGAAAATAATATGAATTTGGACTGGATTGTGAATGTGATGGATTCAGAGGAGAAGGGTAAAGGGTTAAATGTTTCGTTAGCTGATCACGAGGAGAAATCAGAAGAAGAATGTAATACATGGAATAAATATAAAACAAGCGGTGGGAATAAACGGGCAAAGATAAAGAACAGTATTACCTTGGAAGTACTTAGGCAGCATTATGCTGGGAGCCTTAAAGAAGCTGCTATGAGCATTGGAGGTATTTGCAAAGTTTTCTTATAGTAATGCTAAGATTAATAGGCTAATTTAGCATTTTACTGATTTTAGAAGCTTTTGGATGAGATTTGTAAGTACCACTACTTAGTTTGGCTACTTTGTACATTAAAAATTTCCAGATTCCTTGTGCTTTTGAAAGATCTTTTTAAATAGTCATTAAAAATTTCCAGATCCTTGTGCTTTTGAAAGATCTTTCTAAATAGTCATTAAAAACTTCCATTTTCATCGATGCAAATGATGGACAAAAACCCGATCAGTGTGAAAAATATGATTATGAAGTCTCTTTTTATTGTTTCATTTTACTTAAAGCTAGACCCGTTTTTCAATGGATAGTCTAACCTGAAAACTAACTAGTAAACTTTTTAGGTAATACAACTTTTCTGTCTTGGAATATTGTACTCGATTGGTTTTCTCGACTGTGGTTCACTGAGCACTGGTTTTATCGAATCACCAAAGTTTCTTTTTCTCATCAACCAAAATCGAATATATCTGGCACGTTCATTTGTGAGTTTAAGTTAAAAAAAAAATTATCCATTCCATTCTGTTTTTTATTAGGCAATACAAGCTTTTCTGTCTTGGAATAGTGTACTCGATTGGTTTTCTTTTCAGTGGTTCAATAAACACAGATTTTATCGAATCACCAATTTTTCTGTTTTTTTCATCCCAAAATCGAATATATCTAGCACGTTTATTTGTGAGTTTAAGTAAAAAATGAATAAATTATCAATTCCATTTCTGTTTTCAGTGTGCCCAACTACATTGAAAAGAATATGCAGACAGCACGGGATTACTCGTTGGCCGTCCCGAAAGATCAAGAAAGTCAGCCACTCATTGAAGAAACTTCAGGTCGTGATCGATTCAGTCGAGGGAGCCGATGGTTCGATTCAGCTCGATTCTTTCTGTAACAACTTCCCGCAACTCATCTCCTCAAATCCACCAGAAAAAAGCTCCAATTTGTCGACACCAAACATAAAAACCATTGTTCCAATATCAGCCTCGAGTTCCAGTCACTGTTTTGCTAACAACTTACAGAAAGGAGAAAGGCTAAAGAGAGCGCAAAGTGAAGCCAAATTGCACGAGCACAGCCGAGATAGAGCAGAACAGATTCTTATCAGGTCAAATAGCCATAAGAATTTACAAGACGATTCACCTGTTGAAACTCGACCTGTGACCAAAAATAACATCATTGCACAAAATGTGGCTACTCTTCGAGTAAAAGCAGCTTTGGGGGAGGAAAATGTTCGGTTCAAGCTGAAACCGATGTGGGGTTTTAAGGATTTGCAGGAAGAGGTGTTTAGGCGTTTCGACATTGGAATTGGCAGTGGGTTTAGTTTAAAATATCTTGATGATGATGGTGAGTGGGTTCTCTTGACTTGCGACGAAGATCTTGAAGAGTGTGTCGATATACACAGATCGTTCAATATGCAAACCGTTAGACTGTCCGTCAGTCAGCCGCAGCTCGGGAGTTCGTTGTCTTGAAGTAGCATTATTCACTTGCAAGGGGAGAAAAATGTGAACTAGTAGGAACTTTACATAGATGAGTTGCGAGTGAAGTTGTTGATTGTAAATATTACAAACCGCTTTGTTCTTCGATGGTAAAGACAGATTGCCCCATTTTAGTTTAGTTATGTACTTATGTTAGTGTTACAGACTTACAAGTCATGGACTGAAGGTTTTGCACTTTAGCTTACATCTTTGAAAATTGCAGGTTAATATTGTGACTATATTAAAAATTGTGAACATTTTCTTTCTTGGTAAAAAGTATCCACAAACTTTTTCAGGTTTCTTGTCAACTACATTGGTGCATCATGTTGTTATCTGCCGCCCAGATCGAGTTAGTTTTATTAAGATAAACATACAAATCTGGATAATTGAAAGATCGTAAAATACATGTATTGAAATAAACAAAATGTAACATATATATTATTAAACCCATTACTGTAAACAACATTACTTGTTTGGTCTTTTGGTACATCGTCTGCCACAAATTATATTAAGATTCGAGATAGACTTAAATAAATTAATTATTTATTTAGCAGGATATATATAATATTTTATAATATGCAATCATTATTTATTTTGTAAGTATATGCAATCAATTTCAAATTTGTATTCTATAGGATTAAACAAAATCCATATTTTTAGATTGTTTCAATTTGAGTTCATTTGAATTGCAAATTAATATTATCTTCTGTTTTAAAAAAATCCGTTTAAATAAATCCAAACTAAAAAACTAATAGCCAGATGATAAAGAATTTTTAAATTTTATTTTTTAATTTACAATTAGACCCAATTTTTATCCAATTTAATAAATATGATATGCTACAATTAGATAAACATACATTTTATAGTATTTTACTTAATTCGAAATTTTCGATTTTATGATAAATATATTTTTTTAATAAATAATGAGAAAATTTTTACTTTTACAAAATTATCATGTCAAATTTTACATAATTTAACAAAATTTCTGTGTAATTCATTTTTTTGATAAACAATTAACCTGTTGCAATAGTAAAAGATATATGTAATAGTATGTTGCTTAATTCGAAATTTTAATATTATAATAATTATTTTTTTTTTATAAAATAAAAAAATGAGAAAAGATTTAAACTTTTGCTAAATTGTAAGCACCAGTCAAAATTGACCTAAATTAAATCCATAAAACTAACCGACTTTGGGTGCCCACAACCTCAGCCCTTGTATCATTTCGAAATTCTCTCGACATATCAATGGTAAATGCATCGTTAAAGTTTTCAAAACTTTCCGACATATTATATTTCACATGGAGAGCACAAACCCACAACAGTATAACACCACACTGTTTCAGTTTGTTTGTACCTACATAACATAGCCTATTGGCTGAACATCATTTATTCATGCTTTTGCATCTATTTATTCATCAACACAAACTTAAACATCATAACATGTTAAATTCATTACACAAACACAGATCCATCAGTTAGGCCGCGCAAGTGGGACACGCGCAGCCCGCACCGCACTTACAGAAGGCCTTGCCCGTGCCCTGGCTCTCGATCTTGCCACACGTGCACGGGTTGCAACCACAATGCTCCCCGCACGTGCACTGCTTGTGCTCCATCGAGCTAACTCCTTCACCGCCCGAGACACACCTGGTGAAGATTTTCAAGATTCAAAGATTATTAGATATTGAGTTAATGATATATGTGTAAAATTATTTATGTCTAATATCAAACTTAATTCCAAAGCAAAAATAGTATAAAAACAACATCATAAAGTATGAAGCATAGATTTTCGCCATGTCAACATCCAAAACATGAGAATCTGCCACATAAGTTCAATACGTTTTGAACTAATATATAGGGAGGGATAAATAGTATGTATGTGTTTTTTTATATTCACATATGTGTTTTTAACTCATTTTTTTTTTTTAATTTCGATATTTAGTGCATAGACTTACCGGCAAGTGGTGCCGCCGGGGCACGGCGACGGACAGCCACACCTGTCGTCGCACACGGCTGCGCTTCCCCTCATGTCCGCCATATCTGTATTATTAACTCTTCAAATATATGTAACGTGATGTTAACTACTGATAATTATGATTAGTTTAGCTAGTGATGACCTTCGATATAAATATACGGAAGTGTGCTATAACGTGGCAAGCAAAAGAGTAGAGTAGGTGACACGTGTCGGATGTAGGCTCACCTAAGTTTCCCAGTCTGCGCCACGTCCGTAGAAGTCTCGCTCACTGTTTGCTCGGTCCTCGTTTATCCGGTTTGTGAGAGAGTTTTCGAGAAACCCAATCCATTTAAATTTAACCAAAATTGTTTTTTTTTTTATTTTTTTTTTATTTTTTTTTTTATTTTTTTTTCAAGAAGCAGCTAAACAAGTTGAGCCAAACCAAACTTTGATCGTAAAAAACTAACAAGAAATCGAGCCTGAGCTCGGTTAATTTATTAATATTAACGAGCTGATCTCAACTTTAACGAGCCAATCTATACAAATATATATAAACAAAATTCTTTTGAACCTTAACAAACTGAGCCTAGTCCGACTCGTTTACGAAACGAGCTTTGAGCGAGTTCAAGCTCGGCTTATTTATCAAACGAGAGGCTCGATTAATCCTCTCTATATATTATTCTCGAATGCGCTGAGCTTACGTGACTGCTTCTGGTGTTTTGGAATCCTACTTGACAAAGAATCATGCTTCGTAATTAAGTTTGGACAAATAATATTAATATATTAATAATTAATAATTTAGGTTTGGACATTGTTACGACCACGAAGAAACGACAAATCCCAACTACGGATATATAAGAGCCAAAACTGCTAAGAGCATTCCATCCAGCGTAAGCATCTCTCATAAATATTATTTAGCTAACTTAGGTATTTTAATATCACTTGCACTAATATAACTCTTTATTTCTTTGTAATTTTACATACTGAGGCACTAAATGACTAATATATCTCTGATTTTTGATTTGTTTCTTTCAATTAACTATTGAATTATAAATGTATTTTAAAAGTTGATAACTTTTGTATTTTTTATCGGTTCTACATATATAATATATCAAATTAATCTTCTTTTGATGATATTCGATTTGACATTCATATTGTATATATGAAATAAATAAATTATATTTATCTTCATAATAATAAAAAATATAATATTTACTAAAATTCATTAAAAAAATAAAATTATTTCTCAATTGATATATTTATGTTTAATGTAGTTATATGTTGTAAGTTTAAAAAAATATTATAATATAACACATGTAAGTTGCACAAATAAAAAGTGTCATACTAAATATATAATAATATATATATTTTTATAAAAGATATTTAAATTTTCAACTACTTTTTTTCATTAATTTTAGATTTTAAGAAAAAATTAGTAAGCACCCGTGTAATACACGGGCGTTGTACTAGTTTATTAATATTAACGAGCCGATCTCAAACTCTAACGAGTCAATCTATACAAATATATATAAACAAAATTCTTTTGAACCTTAACAAGTTGAGCCCAGTCCGGCTCGTTAACGAAACGAGCTTTGAGCGAGTTCAAACTCGGCTTATTTATCAAACGAGAGGCTCGGTTAATTTAAATATTAACGAGCCGATCTCAAACTTTAACGAGCCAATCTATACAAATATATATAAACAAAATTCTTTTGAACCTTAACAAGCTGAGCCCAGTCCACCTCGTCAACGAAACGAGCTTTGAGCGAGTTCAAGCTCGGCTTGTTTATCAAGCGAGTCGAACTGACTCGCGCCTTTAACGAGGTGGATCGAGCCGAGCTCACACGTGGCTCGTTCGTTTAACAGCTCTAGGTCATTCTTCCCAAATGATCTCATTAATTTTTTGTTAGGAGTCTTGTTGAACCAAACTTCTTATGTTAGGTCGTCAATACAACTCATACCCCATACTCTATATGAGCCTACATTCCCCTCCTAATCGAACTGTTGAGCTCACTATCAGGTCTTGATAAACCAGATTTGCCACCTAAGTTGGCTACATCAAATTGAATGGTGCTATAATCACAGTGAGTAAACAAATATGCACAAATCCAAAAACTAAAAAGCTTTGTAGACGAATAGTATATATTCATAGCTGTATAAAATTAGAACTCGGCAGCGCTTCAATTCAAACAATATTGCTTGTGTCCAACTCTGTACTAAGACTAAGAGGGGTCAAATTAAGACCGCAAACGACTAACGAGTCGAGTCCAGTATGTTCCTTGTCGAGCACATATCGATTTTCTTTTTTCAGTGCTCGAGTTTGAGGTCGACTCGTTGCTCGACATGGGTCGAGTTCGACTCCAAATTTTAACAACTGAACTTTAACTTTTATTTTTATTCTAAATAGTCAATTTTGTCCTCGATGCTCTAATAATTAAGCTACATGGAGCATGTACGTAAATAAAAAAGTCCGGCGGGTCGTTCAGCTTACCAACTAAAGTTCGACTCGTTTTCTCGATTGAAATGCACTATCTCGACTTGAACTCAAGTTAGACCGAGTTCAAGTCGAGAATTGACTCGAGTGCTTGCAAGTCGCTCGATTCATTTGCACTTTTGAATTTTCAGATGAACCAGAATTTGAATTGCAATAATGGGAGCAATAAAGTCGAGCTCGACTCGAGCGCTCGGGAGTCGCTCGACTCGTTTGCAATTTGCAATTTTGAACTTTCGAATGAATCCGAATTTGAATTGCGACTTTGGGATGAATAAAACAGCATGGGGCAGTAGAGTGGTGAATGATGATGGGAGGTCATGTGAAAGGTACTCGATGATTAATTATTTAATTGATAAGTGGGGATAGGAGAATAGCTTTAAATGGGGCCTTTAATGGGCCCTGTGCCTTAGCTGTATATCTCAATGGACGTTTAGAGAAAACTGAGAAAATTGGGCGGTGAACTTTTGTCCCAACAACAACTCTATCGCCCATCAAGTCCACTTTCAATGCCCGCTTATCATTTATGTTCCCCCAACCCAATCTTTAGAGGAATTTGCACCCCTTACTTTACAATCCTAATTATATTACAATTCTACACTCATTATAATAATATTTATAATTGTACCAAAATAAGCCTAAAATATTGTAAATATGTCTAACCCTTAACCGTTTAAAAAGATTAAGATAATTAAATGAAAGTTACTGATTTTACGGGTGGATGATATATCTCTCCCTCTTCGTCTCGCTCTTTGTCTTTCTCTCTCCCCCATCTCGCTTCGTCTTCGTCTCTCTCCCTCCCTGAGGCAAAACTTTCATCCGCCGGGAAAGGCGATGGAGCCCCCACCGCCTAATGGTAATACCGTCGGTAAAGCCCATATATATCAAGCAAACCACTCGATTAAAAAGCCTTGTACAAATTTTCTGAATTGCTTTTCAGGTTTGCTGAATTTAAGGGTTCTTTTGTTTTAATTGAGTATTCGATTACATTATATTTCGTAGCTATCATTGTTTTTTTTATTAAATGTTAGGATGTCTGCTTCTTCATATACATATTTTTTTATTTAATTTTGTTTTATAATCAAAACTCGAGCGAATATTTATTGGAGTTTCTGGAGCAAATACAATTTAGTTATTGGCTTTTTAACATCTGATTATGTTATTTTTTCTGGGCGCGCTTGCAGAGGATATGGCGGTGGAGGATAACGATCGGAGATGGATTTTTCATTCCCTATATCCGTCATGAATGTTCCAGTGCATCCCAAGCTTAAACCATTTGGAAGAGTTTTATGATATCCTCAATTTTCGTCGCTGTCCTCGTCGAGGGTTGGGTGTCTCCATGGTTAAGGGAGATGCTGGTTGGGTGTGTGAAAATCGATGTTTGGTTTTCCATTATACAACTTAGTGTATGGTCAGTATATGTACGGTATATGTACAGTATATGCACATCCTAAGTATCTGTGCAGTTATTGTACATATATATTAGTTTATATTTGGTATATTAGTTATATTACAATGTAACAGGTGGTATATAATATGTATATTTCAAGTATATATCACTGCCATTGTGTCCAACCCATTTCCATTTTGTCATATTTTTCTGTTTTTTTTTTTCCTCCCCAAGTATATGCCTAGTTGATGTAAAGTATATGAGATATTTTATTCCACGTGTAGACACATTTGTGTTATGGTCTTATCTCAAGTATATTGAAAATTTTATCCTCTGTCAAGTTATGTTAAGTAGTGTTGGATTTTAGGATTTATATCAAGCTTATGCTAAGTAGGTGTTTCTTTATATATGTATATGATAAGTATATGACAATGTGACATAGTATTAATAAACTAATCAGATTCATATACTTTACACGATATATACTTATCATATAATTTGGGACATGCTTCAATTATGTAACAGTTGGTATATGATTG